TCAGGTTTACAAACACAGCCTGTTTTAAGTTGAAAGCTATCGTTAAAAGCAATTATACTCACTCTTAACCTAGCCTGATTTCAGTTACACAGGCAAATTTGACTTTCTGACAGTTTAAGTTACTGGTTATAAATAAAGCTAAATTTGAAGAAGTGCACATCGTTTTTGAGTAAACAGTTTTAGAACCACACGTAGTAGGAAAGCTAATATCACAATCGGTGGAAAAATGCTGTCGATTTCAATTTGTTCAGATGGTGTTCCCACACCACTAATGGACTACGCTTTGACAACAAATTATGACCAACAAATTAACAGAGTTGGCAATGTTTGACCTCACTCAATTAAGCAAATCCACAGATTACTTAAACAGTCTTAAGGAAACTCTTTTACTGAAGAAAATTTATCACTGTTCAAAGAGGAGTGAGCATTGAAAGAGTAAGTATCATCTTCTCTTCGTGTTTGAGAAAGGTCTATTATTATTATTTGTAATCGCATTATTATTTTTTGCTTTTTTTCGTTCTTCACCCAATTTTGGGCTAAGCCAACAAACTTGCTATTCTTTTCACGTTTTAGCAGTTTATATTGCTTATTATCAATCTTAATTTAAAGCTAAGTAACTTAGCCGTCTGAACAGTAAAACCTTGCATTGAAACCTCCTTCAGAGAACTTTAGCTGCATGTTAGGTAATACTTTCAGGGATAAGCTAAGATGTAAATCTTTGATATTTCGAAGGGAAAAAATGTCGTCTTTACTTTTTTTTTTTATTCAGTCTTTCAAAAGCTCGTAGGTGTAATCTTTAACTAGAACGTAGAATGCTATGAAAGCCAAGGGCTGCTTACAGGGCAGAATTGCGGTGCTGTAAATCTTGTAATCTCAGTTAAAAATTTCGTTGATTGCGACTGCGGCTATAAGTTAAAACTTCAGTCCATCTCTCAACTATCAGAGAATTTTGTAGATCTCCAATCTCAGTTATCTGCTGCAAAAACGGGTTATATTTTCAGCTTTGGTAAAATTTTGATCCGTCGATTAATCTAACTACCGACTAGATTCTCGTTCTATCCTACGACAGTAAATTACTCACCTTTTTTTTATTTTACAGAACTAAAGACCCTTTTTTTCATAATTTCATGATCAAACACTTGTATTTCTCATCTCATTTCTATGATTATTTTATTTTTTAGATTCTCGTACCGCACAGCAAATCATGGATCAAAGGCTAATTTTTGCGGCTATGATGCTCTTCATAGTCCCTTTCACCGCAGCATTGGGTAAGAATCTTTTTTTGCCTTACGTACGAGTTTAATTTCGTCGAGATAAAGATTTGGAGGCGGGGATGCGTTAAAGTGTGAAAAAAAAGGGAAGGGCATTGCAACTTCTACAATTCACACGCCACGTCATGCATGAGACCGCGCCCTAAGTAATAAAATGAACAATGATAGGGCAGTGGCCACAGCTATGGCTTTCAGGAGGATTTAACGATCTTGGACGTTCTGTAAACCCTATTTTTCTTTCGATGGATCATTTTCTCGACCGATTTTCTGCGTTTAGCGAGAAAATGAAGAAAATCTATCCACTAGAAGTTTGAATTTTTTGCAAAATCCTTCTTTTTAGCTCTCGGTTTATCGGTGCGACGGTTTCAAATGCCTCTTGAAGGGTTAAGTTTTGTGAAAACGTTGTTAACATTTGGAATTATTTACGCAACAGACCCACTTCTACAAAATATGCCTAAGATCGTTTGCCTCCGTTGACTCACCTTCGATATTTTTAACTGTAAACTCCTGTGGGGCCATGCTGAATTACATGTGCCAATATTTCAAAATCAGGGGAGTTTTCCACGCTCTATATATATCTGAAACGAAGTCGGTAACCCCCAATTTTTTTTTTTTTTTTTTGCATTTCTGACACAAAAAACTTATTATCCTGACGGCGGTAAAACTTTTAAAAAATCTATCGACTGGAAAATTAATATTTTCGTGCGAACGTCCTTAATTATCATAATTACTGATAATGTAGTTTTCTGCTACTAATTCATTCACTCATATATTTTCTTATTTCTTGGCTCTTCAGATCCCTGGGTCAAAGCGAATACCCTTCCCGTGTGTTTTGGCGCGAGGAGTAACCAGTATGACAGTTTCAACGTCCCTTACGGTGGCAAGATAGCTGCAGTAAAATTGATCTATCTAAGCGGTTACGTGACCTGCTCTGGCCAAATTTCTCACTGGTCTTTCTGGGGCTGTGGTAACCATCCTTCATTAAAAAAACACGTCAGTCTTGCCATCACAACATCAAGCAATGCTCTCCTTATGCCGCCAAACGAGTTTTTCACGTTATCTGGTGGTGCTGGAAGGTGGTCCGAGTTACCCGGATATAACTCGTTGTCCCCTGAGATCATCCTGCCGCGTTTTTATCCTTACTCGGTGAGCTCGGGCCAAGAGTTGCGGCTGTGGTATGGTGAAGATTTGGTGAACTGGTATGAAGGCGACAATAAAGGATTGGTCTGCTGTAATGTATATGTTCTGTATGTCTGATGACAGTCCTGGCAAGTTTCAGTTTCAAGTTTCAGGCAGATTTTCCGAGATGATTAATTTTTTTTTCGCATTCTAGCTGCAGAAATTAAGGGTTCCATTAATTCTAGTAACATTGAGTATTCGAGATTTTTGCTTTACGTTGTTGAAAAGAGGAAAAGGAAAAACGGAGATACGAAATGTAGTAAGCTGTGTAACAACTGTGTTTGAACTGTGATTAAATGAATATAATTGTATACCATAGAGCACATAAAAGTGGGTTTTGCTTTAATTTAGCAGCTAGAAATAAAAAAGAAGGCATTAAATAAAAGTGTTGTTTGTTTGTGTGTTTTCGTAAACTGCGCGTATGCCAATGCAAGCCATGAAACAAGCCGCCTCCAGGCCTTCGCAGTCGTTACTTCGGTCGCCACGCACCTTAGAGAAGTGTTTCGTGATTACCCCAATAACGCGTTTGAAGGAGAATGAAATCAGAAAAGTTCAAGAATTTATTTTCTCCTGACAAAATCGATATAGAGCATCAAGAAAAGAGCTTTCCACAAGATGCTCTAATTTTGTAAAAACGATGCTCAAAATTGCTCAGAAAGTTGCTCAATAAATCTAAAAGTTGCTCAAAAGTTGCTCCAAAATCTTGAATTTACTAAAATGTTTCTCATGTTGTGTAAAGTTCCTCAACAGTTGTTCACAACTTGCTCAAAAAAGTTACTTCCCTGCCATATTGATGTTATCTTATTACAAGTAGTATTTTAGACTAGAGCATGAGTTACCACGTTTTCCTTCCTGAAAAAAATCTTATTATATCTTTTGACACTAAAGAATATTGGTGTTGCCACGTTTCCTAAGGAGTTTCCAAAATTTATTGCTAATGAAGCCAAAAGTTGTCTACATCAACTTGGATTTTCCTTGAAAGTGTTTGAAAAGCTTCAAAAATCTTTCTTAAATTCGGAAATGTTCGAAAAGGTTTGTATTCCTTTCAGGAAACATTCGGAGAAGGGACTGTTGAAAAATCTTCTGGAGGTTCATGTCACAGAAATCAGTCCTTGTCCGTATTAAGCGGGCTAATGCCAGCGACAGGACATGAAATTTTAGTCGGGACAGGTAAAACTGTCTTGAGGGGGCAGCCAGGGTTCAAATATTGTGGGCGTGATAAGTACCGCGGTGCCCCTTCGCCCCTCCTACCGTCCTTCCCATAATGACAAACAATAGACTGCAAGGCTGATACTACGTGAAAGACGTTTCGAGAGACCAACATGACAAGAACCGATATTAAAAGCAGGATCGCAACAGTGGACGGCTGTTTCGTCCTTATTGGGACTCGTCAGCACTGTGTAGCGAAGATATGTAACACCAGCCCAAGAGCTAACGCACATAAATTGCTAAATGAACCGTTCACTACATCAAGTTCCGTACTTTGAATTCACTTGCGCCCCGAAACACGCGTTGCCACATTACGTGTTTCGAGGTCCAAGGAGACGTAGGATTTTATTAATTTATAATTTTAGATAGTGCAGGTCCACATCAGGACTTAGCGTCTTACCAATTTTGATCTCCAACCTGCTTTATCAAATAAATTATGTATGTATGTGTGTATGTAAGTGTCACGATTGGTGTCTCGAAAAGCAAAAAATAAATGTGGCTGGACAAGGGCAGCCTAAACATTTAACCGCATGGCCAGCATCATGCTTTAAAAACGCAGCCTTGCATTAGCCTTGCAGTCTATTCTTTGTCTTTGTACATTTTTTGGCTGATCAGACCTCCTGTAGATCCTACGTTGGCAGAGTTAATCGTATACGGTCCCTTGCAGTTTCTGGTCTTCCCATAATGCCTCATGGCATGAATAACCAAAACCAACAACAGGGTTCTCAAACGCTAATATTGGTTGTGCTCTTAAATTTTATCTGTCGTTGCTATATATCGCTGTATCGCGGCGCTGACCCGACAATTTCGAAGTGCTGGCGCTATTAGTATATTTAGCATTAGAGGAGTAAGCTCACCCTTAGTAGCAATGTCTCCAAACTCGTGGATATGGAAGCCGTGTAGCGTTTCAGGAGGAAGGCCTGAAATGTTTATATTCATGGTAGTAGAACCACCGATTGGCTGGGAAACAAAAACATCAAACAGCGCAGTTAAAAATCAGACCCAGTAATCGACTGGAGCTGTTGCAGATTTTAGTATGAAACAGATCCCACATTCTCAATCCAGAACAGAGGAGTTTCTTTACTAAGTAACGTGATGTGTCCTGACATGACTGAATATAAGAATTGCAGAGTTTTCTTCTTCTGCGCTTTTAAACTTTATTAAATAAGTATTCTTTGTTATACTTAGACATGCAGTTCCTCTTCAAGAGAGGAAAGAAGTAGCGAACCTCCACTCCTGTTCAAGCAAGACCAGTAGTGAACGGAAATGCCGACCGCTTTTCAAGTCGGGGATGCTCTTGGGAACACTTGAATTAAACCCGTATAGCTAAAGGACACCAATCTTTCCGCGGCTCGAGCTTTATTTGACCCCTTGTGCAAAAGATACCCCGCGGCTTTAAAACAGACATGACAGCGTTCTTTTATTATATTTCTTCGAGTGCAACTCTAAAAGACACCTTGACGGCTAAAAATAGTGGTGTTTCATTCTGATATGTGAAGCCAAAGTCGATGATTCATAACTCTAAGCGAGACGAAGAGCATTCCCGACCTTTTTCATATGACTGAGAATTTCCCCGGGACTAAGATATCGACGACCGAAGGCTTTTAAATAGGATTGATAGCTCATGATCACTGAAGATTAAAATGCCAACAAATGCCTAACATCTTACTACCTGCTTCATTTCAACTGTTCCTTTTACGGGTGTCTCTGTACCCGGGGGTGGTGCAGCGTTACGGGTAATAGAACATGCAGCGGTTACTACAACTTCACCTGCAATTGCTGTAGATAAATATTAAAAAATTGCTTTTTTTAATAACCTGGTTTAATGATGAAGTGATGGGTTGTAAAAGTCGCTAAGTAGAAGACGAGTTTAAGTTTGTGTTTGAGAACAGGTACTATTCATGAAACAGTACTCTCGGAGAAGATACTTTTCGATGCTTTTCGATACTTTAGTTTGTCACTATTTTTGGTTTTATAAAAATGTATGAATGGGGACCAACAACCTGCAGTTGGATGTGAGCTGACATTTCCCTGCAAGTCCATTGTTTAGTACAAAAATAACTTTTAGGTCGTAGTCACAGCAAAATGGCCTTTCAGACATGTTCCTGTCGAAAAGGCCGGATATTCTCCGTTAATCTCTTAAATGAAACTACATGTGTATATTTCCTTCTTTTAAGTGTTGACATGTCAAAAACCTGATTTATTGGAAGACATAGATATTAACACTAAAAGATAGTTCAACTGTCTTGTTAAGGTCTTTTGCACAATTCTTTTCGCTATATGTGTAAGTTAGCGAGTTACAACCAGTGCATTATTATATAGCAGCAACGCTATGAAATCAAAACTGGAGGAACTGACTTAATCCTTGAGGAAAAAATAATTATTTTCAATACAAGTGAACGATTGATAAGTCTGTAGCTGTAAAAGACGAAATCCGTGCTGATTAGAAATAACAAACGCAGAGAAGTACCTTTCAAAGCTTTCTTCGCATCAGTTGTCGCTAACATCGTCAATCCACACACAAAGAATAACATTGTGATATGCTTCTGAAAGCAATTTAAAATGTTAAGAAAACCAGGACATTAGTAAGCAGATAATCTTCGATAAGGCTACCTTTTCTGCGACAGATTAAAAAAGAAGGTGTGGACTGGGTTTTGGAACCTCAGTTATCAGCTAACATTTCGGCTAACATTTTAAATTTTTGCTCATTTATTACTCAGTAAATTTTTCCGATCTCCATTATCAGTTAAAATTAATGTGTCAATTCTCAGCTGGCTGTTAAAACGTTGTCCAATTCTAAGTTACCAGTTCAAAATTAAAACCCATTTCCACCTAGACCCTCTTGAATTGGTGATGTGTGAACTCCAACAAAAAAAAAAACAAACACACTAGAAACAAACAGTCCACTTCGGTTGATCAAGGTTCTATCCATATTAGGGATATTTTTGGCGGAAAGACGCAGAAAGATACTTTTGATTCTTTAATAAAATTTTCGAGGTCATATACGAAGATTGCTCCAAGGCAGCTTAGCAGAAGACCCTGCTTTCTATACTTCTCTACAACACATGCTAGATAATTCCAATTAAAGATGGTCGACGTTTTAACTTTTTAAACATGTCTTTATGTTTTAAAGTTCTGAAACTTGTCGTTTTCAAGACATGTTTCAGATGCACTGTATCCACTCGAAACAAGTCTTCAACTAAAC